TTACACACAGAAACAGCTAATATATATATATATAATATTTATTTTTTTTTCAAGTGGGAGTAACTTCATATTTCAATAATTATGCCTTCTGCACAGTGCCCACACTACATCTGGAGTGTTGTTTGCGTTTGAACTCTGCTTTATTAACAAATCGTTATACTTGAAATTAATTACAAATAGGACAAAAAGTAGCCAACAGAAATATTTTTAGAGTCTTTAGATTACTAATTGTACTGCAGATTGTTTGCTATTTGAAGTACAGTATGCTTTACATACATTTTAACAACCCCTTTTTCTCTTACTATGTGTTTTCTGCGAGACCACAGGCACCAGCCCGGTACTTCTCAGGGAGCTGACAAGAGTCGGACTAAGAATCAGCAAGCCTGGATTCTTGTCCTGTGACAGACTCCTTCCCTTCCCTCTGGGAAGTCTTACCCCTTTTCTGTGTCTTGATTTATGCTCTCTGTTAAAGAAAAAGGGCACTCTGCAAAGCACGGTGGGAACTATGGATAACACAGATTGTAGAGAAAGTGGTTGTTGTCATAACTCCTGGTTTTGGAAGATAAATGTAACCACTGTGGATTTAAAATGGGTTAAAATTGCAGATTCACTTACCTGATTTTGAAAAGATGAGAGAAACAATGAAAAGAGAAATTAATCCAAGCCCCTTTTCTCATTAAGCAAGAAACCGTAGGTCAATAAATCATTTTATTTTGTTCTTGGAGTGTCCTATGGAATAGAGATGTGTGGGCTTTTTGTTTTAACTAAGCTGCAAGTGACTAATAGTTCTTTCTCCTTTGTTATTTAGCAAGTTTCAGGGAAAGACTTGGAGCAATTAGCATGCATGAAACGTGCAAAACTGAATAACAAAAACTACCTCTTTTGAAGCTTTTGTAAGGCTTATTCAGTGTTAAAGTGTGGTAGACGTATGCACTGAACTCTGCTTTACAGAAACAACAAAAATATGAGCGGTCATTTCTTCCTTATTGCTGAAAACATCGAATATTTTCTCCATCTTTCAGGATCAAGCAGAGCAGTTCTTTAGAAGTGGACATACAAATAACTGGGCAGTTTTGGTAAGTGTGGTCCAGGTTGTTTTGTTCCAATAAAGTTGACCATTTTTCATCGAGAGCCATAACTACAGCAGTCACTCAAGAATTCTGTTCATTTGAAGGAAATGGAAAGATAAAGACTTGGTAATGAATAAATTTGAAATTGTGCCTACAAATTCATTACGCTATAATAAAATTATCTTTTACTATGACTGCGTTTCAAGCACTCAAAACGTCTAGCTACATGGCAGGATTCATAAAACAAAAGTTCTGACAGCATTAAAACAGTTAAATTACCATACTGCATATTGAACAAAGTGTAATTCTCATATCAGAGAAGTGTATCTCTTTGACCAGAAAGGTGCAATTCATTTCTGATTTTTTGTTCTTACTCAGTCTGTTAACTTGTGATAACAGGCTTAGAATAAAATAAATTCAGGCAACATAATGTTTAGATCAACCGTTCTTATCCTAGTTTTTTTTTTCTTTGCCATGAATCTTTTATTAGCTTTGAATCATGCTACACAATTGGTTCTTAATCACTGTTCAGGTCTTAATGACTAATTTGTTTCAGAACACTGTTGTAATTACTCAGGAGCAGCTGTTTGTTTTCCAAATACTAAATTGAGCAATATAAAAGGAAAGTTAACAGTAATTAATTGAATTAGAAGGAATAATTTCTATATTCTACAATGTACAAACTTGAAACTATTAAAACATCAAGCACTACTTTAATACTATTAACAAGTAGGTGCTTTTGTTAGTACCCGTACAAACACATACAGAAAGTGGAAAATTGGATCCAAGAAGCTGTACGTCTGTCCTCAACAGATTCTCTGCTGGTTGTATTTTTTCAGTAGTTCATGATTAAGCTTTATAACAATTGCTGCTAATTTGTTAAGTGGTAAAATAGGGAGGGTTTTACTGCTATCAGGCACTTCAAGCCTGGGATTGTTCTGTAGTCCCACCTCATCAGGCGTTTGAATTAACATGCTGCAGTGCGAATAGCTGTATTTAAAGCATAGGCACATCTTCCACTGTGGTATAAGAGAAGTAACGGAGGAAAGGGGCTGATGATAATGTCTTGAAATGTCACAGCTAGATTGGCCACAGTTAGTTTGCAGAGCTTTGAATCTTACTGAAAGGCAAATGTTCTCATGGACTGATTCCTGTGGGCTTATTTGAAATTCTTAACTGACAGGACGATCGAGACACGAGGGGATCCTTTCAGGCTGAATTTTTATTATTATTTAAGCTACTACTAATTTCTTTTTAGGAAAAGGCTAGAGAAAAAGTTGTTACATACTGTAACTTAAAGATGTTTCTATTTAAATTAGAGCTGTATATTTAAAGCTGGAAAAATTACAAACCTGTCTTCAATGCTTGTTCCTGCTTCTCTCTTTTTTGTGGTTTTAAAGTCATCTCTTCTAAAATGCTTCTTCCTTTGTCTGTTTGAAAGACTTGTAAAAGGGAAGGAAACTTGTCTCCAAAGGAGAATTGCTGTCCTTGGTGTGGAGCAAACAAAAAAGTAGCAAACTGAAGTTAAACACAAAGACAATGAGAAGACTCCTAAGGAACCACAGCTGATTGCCTCTGAAGGCTTTTGAAATCTCATTGGTTTGAGGATTTTGAGGACAGGTTAAATAATATCTGACCTAGGGAATGGTTTAAGTACAGAATGGGTGATCCTCAACCCTTCGCTTGTTCAAACAGTAGAACCTGAATTCCTTTGAGATTTTTGAGAATTTGTATTCAGATTTTGCTTAGAGCTCACTTAGCTCTTACTTTATTATGTTTGACTCCTTAAATGCAAACATCCTCATTGTATTTTCCCTTGTGTGTGGCTTCTGCATAAAATTCACTTATGCATTTGTGCAAAAATGCTCCCAGAATGGGTTTGCTATTGAGATAAGAACTCTTCCTTTGATTTTTCTTCCATTTGATATGGAGAAAACAAATGAAAAAACTTAGCTTCTCCAATTACTATTGCTAAATTATTCCCTAAAGTACCACTTCCTATACTTAGTTGGGTTTTATGACATTTTTCTCATAAGTCAGTATGTTAAGAACTTTCTTTTAACTTTTATTTTCCACATTTGTTGCTTTGGTACAACAAAGTTTTATATAGCTTTTATCACAAGTTTCTTGGTGTTGCTATATTCGTTGTGATTTGTTACTAGTTTGTTGAAATCCCTGTAATCACGGTCTTCTGATGCAATGTGCCAGGACAATTTGTATCGTTTAGACTATTTAATATGCTTTTTTTTTT